TAAGATTTAGATCTCAAATATTTTTTTAAACCAATCACAAACAGTAAGGTATTTCGTAGAAAGGTAAACAAAGAAAATTTGGGTTCATTTTACTGTGCACAAGAGTCTGGACACGAAAACAATAATTAGGAGGGCAGGGGGAGGGGGTTGTTGATAAGCGTGTTTAATCAACGATTTGTAATACCTACAATCTAATACGAAAGATAAAATATTTAATTTAGGACTATTTAAATACAATGAAGACGCAGAAAGTGAATAATTTCTTATTAACCCCTCTAATCGGTAACTTTAGAACGTTATCCATGACTTCAAAACTGGAATTAGAACCACTGAAGTGAATTTGTACATATCTCAGTTTTTTTTTCACAGCAATGCCATTGAAAAAAAACATGCGTATGTTTATCAGTTTTTGATATATATTTAATTCCACTGTTGGTCTCCATGCTCTCATCAGCAGATAACGATATTCTATATCGAGGAAAACAAACAAGTTACAGATCTCTTGGAAGACACAACCAAAACTGTTACAAAAATGTACACGTACCTCCGTAATGAGGCCAGTCTCCAAACACAAAAGAGTTATTCAACATGTTGGATACAACAGAAGCTGCCATGACACAAGCAAAAGTCTTCCATGGATCCTTTGTAGAAGCAACACCATGTACAAAACCACAAACACCTTTAATGACAAGCCACTCCATCTTCATGTCATGAGCTGCTGCAAACAGGCCTGAGGTAGAAAAATGAAAAAAAAAAAGCGATAACAATTGGAATAGATTTAAGCAATGATATTAAAGGGAGAATGTTGCGATTAATTTGAGCAAAAGAGGCTTCGTTTTTCTGCAGATTATTATTTTTTGTTTTTCCTCTGCTACTGGAAGTCTTTAAGAGATGTTGTTTTTTTCTGCAGGCATGTAAATTAGCACTACTCTTCCTAGAGAGTATAATGAGTAGGGCAGGTACCTTTAAGTCAGAAGCAGTATATCAGAGAGTAAGAATTTAGAATTCAGGAAAGAGTTCCTCAAACAAAAAGTATCGAGTACCTCGCCCCCAACAAGAACCTGGCTTAAGAATCTAGCAACCAGAAGCCAAGCAAGAGTAAACCTGAGAGTAATTCTCACCTTTTCCTTCCATTTCAACAGCAATTGCCCCAGGGTGTGATTGACACTGCTGTTCAGCATCAATCAGATTAGAGCAACTCAAAATCTCTCCATCACGTACATTGACTTCACGTGTTTCTGGGTTTTCTAATGGCGCTTCCCATCCATCAGCTGCACTTCTGACAAGGTTACCAACATCCCTACTTACTGGGGTTTTGTGAAAATCTGTTGTAAGCTTTGAGGATATCACCACATCTCCCAGCTGGGCTTTGTCAGGATTCGAACTGTAGCAGAAACCAACCAAAAAGGTAGCCTTGGGTCTCAGGAGTGTGACGGCATTCTTAGCAGCAGTTTGAGAACCTCCAGGATCCAAGAATTCTTTAGAACACTTCACTAAAGCAACTTTCAGTGCCTCATCTTCATCGTCACCCATCTTTCCAAAGTACACATACCCAATGGATTTCTCATAGCTTTTATAGGAATCTCTCAGGTAATGATAACAAGCTAAGAACTCGCAATACTCCACAGTCAAAAGCAGAATGTCAACTGGACGATGGTCTATGTTCCAATGTTTCACCTTCTTCGGCAGATCTCTTGTCTTCTTCAGTGTAATACTCAGAGGTGGAGGGTCATCACTGCGATTCTCTGAGCAGCTGCACTTATCACCACTAGGTCCTGCCATCATAACAAACTGGGTCTGTGTTCAAAGTTTTCCTAGAAGTGAACAAAGGAAATTAGAAACTAATTCAAAAAGAGATAAACATAAATAATTTGTAAACACAAGTTTGCTTATAAGCATGTCACATACCTGAAAGGTGATCAAAGTATGACCGTGTAAATTGGCCACCGTAGAAAGTTTCAAAGCTGACGTTTCGAGCGTTGGCCCTTCGTCAGTCGCTCTGACGAATGGTGTTATATTTGAAGAAGTCCCTGCCTCCACGTTGACAACCTAATAACCAAAGCAAACACTTGGCTGTTTATATTGAGGGTTTGTAAGGTTTACAGCTATTCTTAAGATCAACTCAACAAGTTGTTTGACCCACTCATCTTATCCTAATTTGCGTATAGCCTGGAAGTCTGGGAATTAACAACATCACCACCACGAAAAACCATCCTCCTCAAGATCTGTTGCCCCTTAAACAAAAATACTGAGGAAAAGGGGGCATGAATTTCAGCTCCACCAGATAAATAGACTGAAATATACAAAAACTTGTTTATTAACAGTTGTCTTTTTAAACTTGGATGATCATATTTTGTTATGTTTGATTATTCCTTTTTATTTCTTTTTATATCTTGTTTTAGATATTAAATTGTCCCTATTATCCATGATTTGGACTGTAAAGACTCACTGCTGTTGAGTCTGATTTTTTTCAATAAAGACTTTATCATCATCATCATCATCAAGTATGTTTCATATTTCTTTCTCTACCGATACAAAGTGTTCATCAATATTTATCTTTAAACCACAGTTTGAGAATTCAAAGAGCAAGTATTCTAACCATTAAAACATTATTTTCTCCTCAGATGTGTAAAAATTTTGAATACGGATGTCACCAGCAATTTTAGCAGTGGTGTCCTGGTAGCAGCACATGTAAAACCACAATGTGTGGTTTATAAACAGCTATCGGTCTATTGTTGATGAAATAAAAGAAAATCAGTTCTTCAATCAAGAATGCCCTTTGGAGTAACTCCTAATTTTTTAATTAACTCACCAGAACAGAACGTTTGAAGGCAATTTCCAACTGTTTAGTTATACTCTTCGAATTATCAAAACAAATAACAAATGGAGGTCATTGGTCTCCAGAGACATTTTAGTCGCCAGCCACAAAAAAAAAAAAACTACATGTAAAGGCTGTCTAAAATTTAATTTGGATTTAGACAAGTGATTACTGCTTTATTCAATCAAAGCACAGTGTGTAGTAGCTGCTTCAGAAATGTGTAACCAATAAAAAAATGCCAGCCACTAAAGTGCCTCTGAAGAACAATGACTCATTTGAAGGAATATAAGTTGATTATTAAATTTACTGCCCACTTGGTCCTACTTTGTTTTGTTTGAGTTTTGTTTCTACTCCAAAGCTGTTTTTTAAATAGATTTTTAACTGTCAAAATGTACATAGATTTTAAATAGTTAACTTAATTGGTTAGGAAGCCCTTCTTATAGAGATAACCTCAGGGGTCTCCCCTTCAAATACTGCTGTATATTTGTGTTTGAATCAAGAGTTATTATTATCATTATTATTTTTATAATTATTATAATTATTGTTATAATTTCATATAACACTTTTAATAAAAGTGTTAGACGTATATTGTTTTGCAACTCCTTTAAGATTCATATGATCAAGATTCTTGAGCTGTTCTCTTAATTCTCTTAAGATTCTCTTAATTTAAGAGGGAAAAAATTCTTACTTTATGGCTTAAATTTTGCTTATTGATAAGACGTGTTTATCAGAAGAGCGCCTTTTTACCCACCTTATCATGAAGTTCGTTTTGGTTAAACTCTTACAAGTGGAACTGTTATGAAAGTGCCTTTGTTCCTTTTCTTTGTGCTTGTCTAAACATCTAGTCTTCTGGTAGTTTCGCCTAGTTTTTACACTAGTTTCTTTATCGCTCGTTTTCGCAACCTTGTAACACGTGACTTACGTTGTTTACGCTTCGTTAGAACCCTACACGTTTTCCCCACTTGGCTATTAGTTTTTGTTAGAGTTCGTTTTCAAGCAGTACCCTTTTATCCTTTTGAAGATATAGTCCGTTTGCGAGTTTGTTTTTAGTTTGAGCTGGTTTTTAGATCTTGTCTTTATATCGGAATGATTGGAATGTTGATTCGTATATTTGAATTTAGGTTAGCTTCTTCCTTATAATTTTCATATTTCAGTTTACGATAAGTACTTGGATACCTCGACTACGTTAAATAAAACGATTCAAGGCTTGTCCGTAAAATATATCCTCGCTTCATAGTGTGTCTTCATTTGCGAAACTCATAGTTTTTGTCGAAAATTTGCTTTGCTTGTGTCGGCCGCTACACCACTTAAGTTAAAAAATAAACTCACGTTCCTTGGTCTTCCTGTAACAATGAATTAAGGGTTGTAACAAACCCTAAAATTATATTTTTTACCAAAAGCTAACACCCAAATATGCATAAGACCAAAATAGGCCACTTGTATTCTTTTTTTTTTCCAAATTGCCCCTTATTTAAGACAAATGTTTCACTCTGCTACCTGACTTAGACTTTGCAATTGTCATCTGTTTGCTTCTATGAAATCCAATAAGACCCCTAAATTTTTTCTTCTCTTTTACCTTCACCAAATAATTGTGTATGCAGGTATGGACCTCAATAGAAACACTTTATTCTATTTCCTGCAATGGTCTATGAATTAGCAAAGTTACAGTTTGCAGAATATTAACTCCAATCCCAGTTAAAACGTAGGTTTATAAATTAAAAGATTTTAATTTTTTTTTCAATTGATGTACTTGTTAATAATAAAATTCGAGACTGAAATTTGAAAACTGACAGATAAATGCAAAAGATGCTCAAAGGTGTGCTATTAGATCCTACATGTCAGGTCTTACAAGTAGCTTTTGGTGACCTTAGGCTGTCTTGGGTACAGCTACAAATTTAGTCAGATCATGCTGGTCAGGTTTATTTGATCAGCCAATTAAATTACCTAAGTTGTTCCTTGCAGAATATTTATACATAAATCATCGGAGCAAGATATAAACGTTTATTTCATTTGATAAAACAATAACATCACCAATAGAATTAAGGTATTAATAAAGAATTGCAATTATTTTTTATCATGTGTGAGAAAACAACATAGTGCCAATGATATTATGATTGGTACGTTACTGGAAGTTAATTATGATTAAGTAGACTGTAAACAGCTGTTACTCTTTTTCATAACATTTCACCCTTTGGCCCCTAAGAGTGACTATACCATACAATGCTGTTTTCTTCCCATAATTATTTTTATCATGTGTGAGAAAACAACATAGTGCCAATGATATTATGATTGGTACATTACTGAAAGTTAATCATGATTAAGTAGACTGTAAACAGCTGTTACTCTTTTGGATAAAACTTAACTCTATGGCCCCTAAGAGTGACTGTAAGTATCTAATTTCTCCTTATAAAATCACTCCTAAATCACACATTAAGGTCACCAGAATAAAGGAAATGATCACCAGCTATTAAGAGGCTCTTGATTATTAAACAAATTCTCTTTATCTGCACCTTAGGAAATGTACTGAGAACAGTATGGAGAATACAGAGACTAATGTTAGGGTATAAAGGATTCATGTTGGAGCAGTTAACCCACTCAAAACAAAACAGACCCACAATTACAAAATAACCAAGATTGGGAACTTACAATGTTATTCACCTCAGTTCATACCTTAAGACATTATAAAACTCACCCATGCTGCCACAAGTTAATTCCTGTATTTAGAAACTCAGATCCAGGATCCGAGTTGTTGTCTTTTTGGACAGGTATCTACTGGAAATAAAAATTTTATTGACTTACCATTTAGCACAGAAAACATGCCTGATATGGTCCTTAAGATTTTACATTGTAAACCAGCTTGCCAAAATTTTTGTATTTTCTTAAATTTTCACTCAAATATCTAGGGTCATTAATTATATAATAACATGAAATCTGTGCTTGCATGTATAGTTTCTTTAACATCAATCTTCATTTCCAGGTAATTGGTACAAGTTGTATACCTCCAAGTGGTATTCACAAATTCACATGATCATGACATTTCATACAAAGCAAGTCTTTAATAGTAATTAAAAAAACTAAATCAAATATAAAAAGCAAATGTACATGCTTTGTGTTTCTATTAATCTGCATTAGTCAACAATTTCAAGTCAAAATTACTGACAGGAAACTGGACTGACCTCAGTTAGACTTAAGTTTTGCTTTTAGTTCAGTACAATGAGATCGATCTGAGTAATGATCCTTGTCAGCATGCTTTAAATCTGTCCAGAAAAAAGCAATTCATTTTTAGATTGTTGAGTTTTGTGGTAGTGAGCTTTTAAAAAATAAAGTACACATTGGCTTTGCCCTGGTTATTATAAATGATTTTAAAGAGCTGATAGAAGCACAATCATGTTCAGACCATCTTAGACAAATTGGTATTTCAAACCCTGATTTGCAACTTTATTCTATAATGTAAAAATTCAAAGCTTATTTTGATGACATTTCAGTGTTCATTTTTAACAACAGCAAAGAAGTATTTGAAACATAACCACCACAAACTATATATCAATGAAAAGGTTATGAAATGCTCTATTTGGCTAAAATTATTCAGTTTAAGCTAGATCTTATTGTAAACCGAATGGGGCAGGTCAATTCCAAATGGACAATGTTTCTTTAAGTGAATTAATTGCAAATCAAATCTGGCCACACAAGTAAAACCTCTGCACAGTGTCACACATATCAAGTTAGGTCAACACTCTGAAAAGCTTGAAATGCTAATACCAATAGAAAAACAGAAGCCTCCTGCAGAGTCTCAGCAGACTCAGCAATGAAGATTGCCTAAAAATCACGAGTCTTTATTGAATTCAAAGAGATTCTTTTGCCAATTAAGACATGTCAAATTTCTTTACTTCTTCTTCACTTTCACCCATGGACTCTTCTCCTTTTTACTTTTCTCCATTGACATTCTAGTCTTAAAAGCAGACAG